ACAAATAATCATTCAGGAACTCACAAGTTCGACTGATTCATTAATACTGCTCTACTCTATTTATGCCCTTCTTATCTTCGATTTAAACTAGATTGAGCTAACTAAATTTCTAATATATTAGGCCCAAGCATAATACATATATATCTGAAAGAAATATCATGAATTATAAACGTGACAGAAATGATCATAAATGTATTATTACATCATAAAACAAGTTCCACCGCTTATCAATAACTCTCAGTACCTTTGTATTGTGTTAGTGTTAGCGTAATAAATAATATTATATGTTGAAAGTTGAGGTGAGATTTTTGGTGCTCTCGTAGCATGTGTACCAGGTTAGGATCAGGGTTTTATTTGATTTTCCTTATTTTAGCTCTAAAGTTCTAGAGTGAATATACCCCCTGCCCATAGGCTTCCGTCCATTTACACAACTTGATAGGCGAACAAAATTTGGTACACATACTTCTGAAGCGCCGGATTTTTTTTATATTTATTCTCGGATGAGAGAAAAGCTTATTAGATGATTTGATAGGTTAAGTATAATCATTGTATGTTTCGGGTATGAAGTGGCCATAACTGGCTATTAGAAGAGATTTCCAAAACGAACCGAATATCTGAATACATTTAAACTTTATAAATTCGATCTAGTAAATTTTTGAATTTGGGAATAATTTAGAACATTCCGGTTTGAAAATTAAGGTATTTGATCCGTCAGACAGTGTAGTTTTGGTCTTGTATAACATTTATTAAGTTTTATATTGTTATTACTATCAAATTGGGCGATATTTTCAATTGTTATTGCTGTGTGTCCAAATTTTTTTTGGACATCCTTCCTATATTATTTTTTATAGATGACTGGTGATGTAGGGCACAAAATTAGCAACGTTTCCTCTGAACTAAATAATATAAATATATTCTCTTTCTGTGGTTGGTTGGTTTTGTAGGGCACAAAATGAACAACTTTTACTAGGAATTTCCCATTCAGAACACATTAACATGCAGAAAGGTGTCTAAATCAATGAGTCATCAATGAAACAGCTGAGTCATAAAAGGAAATGATATCTTCTTGGCTTGTGGCAACTTATTGTGATGTCACTTTAGTAACTGCTGTTTGGATTATGATTTCATAAGCTTGTGTTGGTTTAAAAAGTAAATTATGGGATGAGTATTTGTTAGGTATGGGATACAATTTTTATTGTAATTCTGCAGGAGAGGAAAGGTAATAAGAAATTTTAATCATGTATCAACCTATCGATCCTAATTGTGTTGTGTATGATCATGGAAAAGGCAGTTGAATGTTTGATTTGCAGCACCTCTTCCTGTGTCCGTGACAGGCCAGGGGTCACCTAACGTTTTAGCTAGGTAAAATACTTTTGTCCAAATTCTATTCTTGAGGTTAATAAATGAGTTTAGTAAGGCAACGCTGAGCGGAAAAGATTCCAGTCTGAGTGGGCCAGTAACATATAATAGACTTGGTTACTGGGCTGAAGGCTCAAAACCCAATATGAAAAATAATGAATAAAAAACAGTTTATTTACAACAGCTAGGCTAACGTTTATATAATAATAAGGAGCACAATGTAACAATGATTATTATGGTGTTATCTACATCGATATATTGAAGGAAATTTATATCGAATAAACTACAGCCGTAATTTCAGCAGACACAATTAGGCCGGATGAAACATTTTGGTGGGCCGGATATGGCCCGCGGGCCGTAATTTGCACACGCCTGCTCCACACCTATTAGTGGCTGCTAGTAGAAAGCTTTGTTCATGATTGAAATTTCAAACACTTCATAAAACTATGATCATAACATTGTGCCAATCGACAACTGATTGCTCAAACTAGTCTAAGTAAATATTATCTATCATACTTCGCCGGATTTATAATCCCAAAAGTGGTTGGCAAATAGGAGGTGTAAATATGAATAGTTGGAATTGTAGACAGCACAAGTTGAATATGAAATAGGTGCTCTTTTGCTGTAAATTTATGCATGGTTGAAGGTTGATTTTGAAAAGTGCTCTGCAAATAGGTGTAAATAATATTATGAGTTGTATTTACTTGCGGGGAGAGTAAATAGTTTGTTATACAGCATAAGTTAAACATGAATTGGCTTTGTTTGTGCTGTAAAGTTATGCATGATTTAATATAGCAGCCAGATCTTATTAAGAGTCTATTACAAATATAAGGTGTACATTGTAGATAGTGAATTAATATGGAGTGAATGTTGTAGAAAATAATTAAATAGTGTAAATTAAATTAGAAGCATATCTCTCTCCACTTTCGAAGAAACAGAAAATTTTCCTTTTTAGAATTCTTTTGAAAGATTTTATTCAAATAATAATTATTTTGAATTTGATTTAGATTTCGGCAATTCCTTTCTCATATTGTCCTGCTGATAAATTGAATATCTTACCTACCGGTTATTGCATTTCCTGTCTAGGAAATGATGTAAAAGTATTATTTGGCCAGGTATCAATTAATAGTTATAGACAGGAATATCCTAAACAAATCGGGGATGTCCAAAATCGAATATATTTGTTTTTCAAATATGTTCTAAAATAATACAGGGTGTCTATTAAATCCTTCACAATTTCAATTTTGTGAAGTCAGTTCTCAATATATCTTAACCAGGTTTGTTGTTTTTAATCAGTAATTGTTCAAGTATTTTTACTTCATTTAATATATCTGTGAGGGTCAAAACAATATATGGTATTGATAAATTCCCTTCTCAATTTTAAATTTTTTTTAGACTTTATGGACACCCTGTATAGTTGATGATGGAATATCAAATATATTCTAATTTGGGCCGTGCTCAAATGGGAAATTCGACCAATCATTATGTATTGATGGAGATTAAGTGCAATGAATAGTTTAAATTGAAAAAGTTGAATAAAGTCTGTTTTGAATGTTGCCATAACATGCCAAATATTTAAAATAATAACTCATGAAACATAAACATTCTAAATCAGGGGTGTACAACATGCAGCTCGCGGGCCACAACTAGGACCGTCAAGCCATTTAGTATGGCTCTTGTCGACACTTAGATTTTTCTCCATCAAGTATAAAATCCTAACGTTATGTCAACGCTGATGTTAGCAATCTATACAAGAACTTAAAATTTTAATTTTCCCCCTAATGTTAAATAAATATAATTTTGCATTGTGATAAGTTTTTAATTCGTAGTGTACATGGAAAAACTACTTTTTTCAAGTGACCTTAGTAGATGTCTGAAATTGGTTATTATGACCTACTGACAAATATGCTGCACAACCTGTTTTTATGATAAACAAAAGGCCTTGGTGTGACATTTATGCTTTAGCCTTGGTATTTTCTATTGTTTCTATTCTCTCATTGGTTTATGAAAAATCCTTTTCTAATCCCACATCACAATATCCACTCCAGAATTTAATTTGTGAGATATTGCGCTGATAAGAAATTATTTGCTATTCCAGATAATACTCCAGTATTATTTGCTTTAGCCCTTTCTATTAACTATACCTCTTGTGTAAGAAAAATTCCCAGTGTGTTGCCTAAGAAAAATATTTACTGCCGTAGTATGTGTACCAGGTTGGGGTTAAGCCATAATTTAGTACCATTATGAGATCGGAGACTGTCTGTGTTAGCCAACAGAATATTCCCCTGCCCATAAGTTTCAGTCCTCTTACTCAACTTGATGTAAAGTAGGCGAACAAAATTTGTTATCTCTATATTGGTACAGATACTTCTAGAGCGCCGAATAATTTTTTGGATCGATTTTGTGGCGGAAAGAAAATTTATATGCCGTGAATAAAGTGGTTGTCGTTTCGGTTCTGTACCTTGTCACTAAGTATGATTAACAGGCAGACAGAGTTTGGACTAAAAATATCTGGAAAAATAATTGAATGCTCGTATAAATTCAGAATTAAATATTATATTTACAGATGATATTAAACAAATCGAAATTTGTTATCAATATATTAACTTCGTGAATGTAGGAATAGATATGATCAACATGAGGACATAGTGATTCATGTAATTTCCGCTTGGACTCGCCCCCAATTTAGCATGTATTCAATATTTCATATCCGAATCTAAATATTTATTTTCTCAAATGTGTTCGAAATAGTGAAATATCAAGTTTTGGCAATTCCTGATTATATTCGATAAAGCAAATTTTAGTTTTGAGAATAGTTCAGAATTTAGCCTAGTATGGAAATTCATTAGTTTTACAATACAATTTTCATTGATTTGATTTTAATTGCTGTGATAATACAATGTGTCACGTAATCATGGCTGAAAATAAATAAATGATTTAAAAATCATGACAAGACATTTAGAAAATGAAACTAATTTGGATTCGGATTGATTAAATTATTTATTTATTTGATAACAACATGATGGCAGTCATCGAAAAATATTGTAATAAATATACAGCAGATCTCTAGATATCAGAGAGAAATTTGTCAAAAAATTTATAGAGACATTGATGAAATTGTGGTGATGACAATAGCTTTTCATTACATCAGAAATTGTTTGCTATCAGTTCTGAGTGTGTAGGATAGGATAGAATTAACATACGGTATTTATCCCGGAGGAAAGTAAAGTCGATAAGATGGCTTATCCAATGTCTAACCACGGCCTCTCAAATTAATCAAATGTCGAATCATGGCCTCATAACAATTTCATGGGTATAGGTTCTATTTGTTGTGCAATAAATTTGGTGGAAATGCTTGATTTGAAGATCTTTGCGTGAGATGTCCAAATGAATCAAATATTTGAACACATTTGAAATAAATTTTTGAATTTAGGAAAATTTAGAACATCCTTATTAAAAATTAAATGGTTTGCCATATGAATGAGCCATCTTATCGGCCCTTATTAAATGATTAATATAAATAATTGTATTCTATTTACCTTTAGTAATCTCTTGTCCGGCACCATGTGAGAAAAATTCTGGATTTTATAAAATGAACTGCTGGCAATACGACTAAGTATTCTTTTTCTTATATTTTTTAGTGGATGTTTTTAGCTGTGGCCCAATAATGTCGAAGAGTAATCTGCACCTCAAGTCTGTTTTCAGTAAAGAACGGACTTTCCGACCAAAGAAAAAATTTGAACCTGGCACAACCAAGTTTCAGTTGCATAAGAAAGCACAGGCTAGCTTGCAATCTGGTAAGTTGATAGATTTATTTATTCTCAAAATAATTCGCTGGAGGCAAAAGTCGTGCACTGAAGACAGGCCACTCAGAAGTAAATGAGACTCATCTCTGAGCAATGCTACAGGTACTCACTCAGAAGTAAAGGAGACTCATCTCTGAGCAAAGTTACGGCATTCACTCAGAAGTAAAGATATTCATCTCTGAGCAAAATTATGAGCACTCACTCAGAAATAAATGAGACTCATCTCTGAGCAAAGTTACGGCCACTCACTCAGAAGTAAATGAGACTCATTTCTGGGCAAAGTTATGGGCACTCACTCAGAAGTAAAGGAGACTCATCTCTGAGCAAGGTTATGGGCACTCGCTCAGAAATAAATGAGACTCATCTCTGAGCAAAGTTACGGGTACTCAGAAATGAATGAGACTCGTTTCTGGGCAAAGTTACGGCCACTCACTCAGAAGTAAATGAGACTCATCTCTGAGCGCAAAGTTACGGGTACTCAGAAGTAAATGAGACTCGTTTCTGAGCAAAGTTACGGCCACTCACTCAGAAGTAAAGGAGACTCATCTCTGAGCAAAGTTATGGGCACTCACTCAGAAGTTGAGGAGACTCATCTCTGAGCATAGTTACATGCGAAGTAAAGCAGACTCATCTCTGAGCAAAGTTACGAGCACTCACTCAGAAGTAAATGAGACTCATCTCTGAGCATAGGTACGGGCACTCACTGAGAAGTAAAGCAGACTCATCTCTGAGCAAAGTTACGGGTACTCACTCAGAAGTAAAGGAGACTCATCTTTGAGCAAACTTGTATGCACTCACACAGAGGTGAAGAAGACTCATTTCTGAGAAAAGTTATTTGGTACTTTGCGGACCTCACTTCATTTTTTACCTTTTTGCGTTGCTGTATGTTACGTCATTATCACAGTTTAAGCATATGTATACCCGTAACAATTAAATTATAAAGGTATCTTAATTATACGTACCGGTATCTGTCCCTTGCAGGCGCTCCCCTCTCCTGGCCTGCGAATATCCTTCGGCTTCTAATTTTGTCGTTTTTGCAGGGCTTGATCTGAAAGCGATTGTAAACTTACCGGAAGGTGAAGACTTGAATGATTGGATTGCAGTTCATGTCGTTGATTTCTTCAACAGAATTAACTTGATTTATGGAACGGTTGCCGATTTCTGCACAGATGAAGTAAGATTCTAGAATGCAAGGTTTTTGCACCAGGGGCCATAAATAATGCCCACCTAGACTTGCGGGCCATTGATTGTGGAAGTAGCATCAGGCGGGCCAGATTGAATTACCAAAGGGGGCCGGATTTGGCCCGCGGGCCGTAGTTTGCACATGTCATATCTGGAGTATTTCTGGGTTTAGGACTTTTTTCTGCGCCAGTGTGATAAAGGGGTGTCTGGAAAAGTTATTTGAAACAAAAATTGGAAATAATGGCGTTTGAAAAAAGATCTATTTGAGTGAATTTGGAATATTCAAAATTGAAGCGAACAGAATTTGGATAAAGATTCTTTTATTACTGGTCCATGACAATATCTGGCTATTGATCCTGGGTACTCCCGAAGTATGTGAACCAAAATGGCGGACACCGGAACGTGGTATGTGTAGCAGGTTAGGCCATAATTTCAGGTACAAAACTACGGGAGTCACTTGGCTAGTCCCCAAACTCATAATGGAACTAAAGTAGGGAAAATTGGAATAAAATTATGGCCCAACCCTAACCTAGTACACAAACTTTGTTGCGGTGTTCGTCGTCTTGGTTAACATACTTCGGTTGTTCCAAAATTTGTGTCATACGTCTCGCAACCAAATATTGATAACATAAACTCTGACGTTTTGACGCTAGGACTCCAGTTACCCCTACAATCTTTCATTTCATTTTCCCTTTTTATTTTTCAGGCGTGTCCTATAATGTCAGGAGGTCCAAAATATGAATACAGGTGGCAGGATAACCATAAGTAAGTGCATTTTTTGTGTATTTTGTAAGGTTTTATATTATGTTGAAATCAATTGATAAATCTTTTTCTCTCGTCCTGAGAACTCCTATGCTAGTTATCCCTTGACATAATAAATGAAAACAAGTTGGTGCTCCCGTATTATAACCTAAACATAGTATGTGTACCAGGTTAGGGTTCAGGTTGTGTGCCATCTTGATGCACATACTACGGTAGCGGCAACAAATTTTATGCTTAGCGAGAAATAAATGAAGGGTTTCTGAACTATGCATGTTATATCATGAAGAAGCCTGGTGGCATCCACTCAACATTTGATAAATTCAAAATATATTCATGGGGTATTTATTTCTAATTTCTCCAGGTACAGGAAGCCGACCGTCCTCCCTGCTCCTCATTATATACAGTTGTTGATGGCCTGGATTGAAGATTTAATAAATGATGATTCAGTGTTCCCTACAAGAGTTGGTAAGTATTGTCACAATAATTCAGTGTTCCTCTTTACAATATAACTTCGATTTTTGAGGAATATGCTCTCAGTTAAAAATGGCTATTTTAGTTGTCAAGTATTAGTATTACGGTAATCTTTGTGGTAGTTTTTTTACTGTCAAGGGGAAGGTAGATAAAACAGCGAACCACAGACTCCTTGGTTCACCAGTGTGACGCATCATGCAGAGTATTAGGAATACGATCGCCACACCACGCAGGTTCGAATCCTATACAAGGATAATTATGCAAGATGGTTGCTGAACTCCGCTGGTCCACCTAACCCGCTGGTGGGTTACGACTTTCTCCACCATCAGGTCCACACAACTGAAACAAATAACTGGCATACTAATTCAATACCCGACACGGACTGGTAACCAGACAAGAGGCCGTGGTTTGCCCTAGGATTACGCTGTCTTATCGGCTTGTCTTGATTTTTTTTTTATTTGTAAGAATTGTCGCTACTATCTTTAAGTGCAGAGAATTGCACAAAATGACGGGCCATAGTTTGCATCCCTGGTTTAAAGTTGAGTCCCGAAATAATAAGATATATCTTTTATTTCCATTTTCTCAGGGACTCCATTTCCCAAAACCTTTCCAAGTACTTGCAAGAAGATTCTAACGAGATTGCACAGGGTTTTCATTCACGTCTATATTCATCATTTTGAGAGAATTCAGGTGTGTAATTGAATTATGTATCTTACAGAATTTTTGGAAAAATGAAAAAGTCGCTAATAATGTGTGCCTTTGCATTTTGGTGAAATCGTCTATCGTTTTTGTCTGCGTGACGTGTTATTTAAGCCGTAAACATCTTTACGTCCATGTACATTCCCCTTAAATCACAAATTTTCCTCAACATATATATATATATATGTCTTTGCCACGAGGACAATGGTAATTACTTTTTTTTTTTGCGCGGAACTGTGTAACCCGTGAGAAAATAGAGTTATTGTATAATCAAACTGCACCATACGCTTTGATTTAGGAGGCCCACGACAGATTAAAATCACTCTTTTAGAGATTGTGAACTGAAAAATTGTGTGCCCAAAGCACAATTGATTGGTTGGTTTTCGAAAGCAAGCAGTCATTGTAAATTTACTTTTCGATTCTAAAATTACAGATGTGGTCCGACGCGACTTGATTTATTAGTGTTAAGTAAATTCAATCAATTTTTTATTGTACTAAAAAAAAATTTCGGTGCTCCCGAAGTATGCGAACCAAGATGGCGGACATCGGAACGTAACATTGGTAACAGGTTAGGGTTAGGCGATAATTTTTTTCCAATTTTCCTTATTTTAGTCCTATTATCAGTTCGAAGACTAGCCAAGAGCCTCACGTAGTATTTATACCTAAAATTATGGCCTAACCCTAACCTAGTGCACATATTACATTCCGATGTCCGCCATCTTGGTTCGCATACTTCGGGAGCCCCAAAATTTCAAATGCATTACAGAAGGGGGGATATTAGTCTACTTTTAACAGAGCCTTGCACATGAAATAGTTTTCAAATAAAAGTACTGCGGTACTGCTTCCATATTTCTTATTGGTAACCCTGATATATTCTCGTACATGGTCTTCTTCAGAGTAAGAATGCATAAGTGTTACCTTGTAATGCCACTAACTTTCTTTTTTCAGGGAATGTGCGCTGAAGCCCATGTGAACGCCTGCTACAAGCATTACTACTATTTTGTAACCAGATATCATTTGGTTGATAAAAAGGAATTGGAACCTTTGGTAAGTATCCCTTCGAATAGATATATCAGGGTTGGGCAATTACTTTTCTGAATGGGCCAGTTACAGATAATGGACTTAGTTACTGGGCCAGATCAAAAAAGATATGAAAAAAAGCAGTTTAATTACAAAAGTAAGTCAAATAACATTTCGGTGCGCCGTATCCAGCACTCTCGAACAGTGGTTCTAAAACTTTTCAAGTCGCACCCCTTTTTTCAGAATTTGTCAAGTTTCGCGCCCCACCTCAAAAATAACTAGCTTACAATGTGCTACAAATAACAGAGTAAATTGTCTCCTTTCTCCTTGTCGCCGTTTGAGAACCAATGCTCTAGAACAGGGTGGTCCAAATTTGGCAGCTCCGCAGCCACAAAATTACTTTTGCATTGTTCGTGGGCCACAATAGTGCCAAGAACTCGCTCGTTTAACTTCGCTAGTTGCCTCAGCAAGCCATCTCACTAGTCAATTCAGTGACATTAGTCATGCAACAATATGCCAAAAGATTTTTTTGTTAATTTTATGACGAAACAACACGAAATGCGATTTTTTGATTCCTCTCCGAATGCGACGTGGGCCACAGATAGTGAAGCGGCGGGCCAGGGTTTGGACCACCCTGATCTAGAATAATTAAAATCAAATTTCATGAAAATCCATATTACCATTTTCGTTTTTATTTTTAACAGAGAGAAATGCAGGCGAGTATCTGTCACAAAACTTCGACGTCTTCAAGGGGTTCAGAAAGGTTTTGAAAGACGAAACATCCGTACTTATTGCTTCAAACTTTCTACCGATACTGCTCAAGTATTACACGAAATTATCGCTTAAAAAGAGGAAATTTTGTTCCTTATTTCAGAGAAATTTAAACGAGCTACAATATTAGGCTTGATTTGCTGACTCATTAGACTTAGGAGAGTATTTCTTCCAACATGATATGAGTGTATGTGGTTAGAATGTGGGGCCTGATTTCTCAACTCAATACTGATAATTCTTACTCACTAAATCCACTTATCGCAAAAAAAGTGTTGAATTTTGATTCTAACTTTGAGAAATTTAAACCAACTCCTTAGACTCATGAGCGAGCAGTGGTTCCCAAACTTTTTAGAATTGGGGCCCACTATTTATTACTACATCTTATGGCGACCCATCTCTTTTCTACAATGTTATTTTTGATAAATGAACACAAAAGACCTCTTCAAAAAAAAATATGGTGTTCTTCTTCAAAAGAAAATAAATCTAAATTCTGTCTAAATTTCTGGGAAACACGGTAAGAAGTGCTTACAGTGTACAAAACTGCTATGCGTAAAAAAGCCACATGGTCATTCTTTGTGTAGCAAATTTTTGTTCCTTTGATACGATCGTAAAATAGAAACTTTCACACATTAGAATTTAAATTCAATTTATTCTTTTGTTTTTTCGAAGATTTACGTATTCGAGTCGCCAACGATCCTAATAACCAGTATATTTAACCAAAGCTCCCTACATCTTTCCACGACCCACTAAGATTCCTTTTGCGACCCACCAGTGGGTCGCGACCCATAGTTTGGGAACCGCCGCTCATGAGAGTATGTCTCATTGTACTCGGTATGAGTGTATATCGCTCGATTTGAGACCTCTCAACTTAGTACTGATATTTCTCACCCACTAAATCCCTTTTTTTTTAACTTCAGGGAAATTTAAATTTGAACCTGTTAAATATTGCAATGCTAGGTTGGTTGGATACCTCAGCTTATATCAGGGCACTTCTGCTTGTATGGGTCATATTATGGTTATATCATAGGACACAAATGTTAAATTTTGATCCTGACTTCAGAGAAATTTAAATTTGGACCAGCCAAAATATTAGAACGCTTAGCTTCTGGCTCCCTTAGCCTTTACCAGAAAGTTTTTCTGTGCTCTGTAATTAATTGGGTACTCGATGCCAAATTGAAAAGATGCTTGTCCTTTCAGAAACAATCCCTTTCTGCTTGTTTTGAGTGAAGGTATGGGAAATACCGCAGCATAAAAAAGCTAAACTGCTGATTTACCAAAGATACATCAAATTGTTTGAAAATTTTGAAAATGATCATATTGCTTTTGTGAAGAAAAAATTTGCTTCAAGGAAAAAAAAAAAAGTCATACCAAATTGAAACCCCAACTGCCTTCTTGCTAAATTTTTTTAAACAAATTTTATAGCCTACATCGTACCAAAGTATTCAAGCCAAATATATGTTTCCCTAACATTTTGGTTATTGGAAAATGAAATCATTTGCGTTTAAAATTTTTTTGGTTAATTCATCTTTATGTTATCGAGTCAACCTTTTCGATGTTTGAGTGTTTAAAGCTAATGTTTGTTCAACTTTTGAGAATTGTTATTTTTTGGAAATTATTATCCAATGCTTGTCCTTATGATGTGCTGACCGGCTGAGAGCAGAACGAAAATTCACTTCATTTAATTTGACAAAATTTGAAAATCAAATAAAACAAATCATTTTGTCCTCTATGTACTACAGAATTAAAATTGGTAATTTTAAAAAGTTATTATTTTTGTAAATTTTCATTCAAGTATAATCCAATTTAGAATAATGTTTATTATTTCATGTTCAAAAAATCTTGATAAAATCAGTTTTCAATCAGCAATTCGTAGTTTATTTTTCCATCATATTGAAAATACACATTGTACATACAGAATGAGGTAAAAGGGAAAAGAAATGGGCGCTCCCGAAGTATGCGAACCAAGATGGCGGACATTGGAACGTAACATGGGTAACAGGTTAGGGTTAGGCGATAATTTTTTTCCAATTTTCCTTATTTTAGTCATATTATCAGTTCGAAGACTAGCCAAGAGCCTCCCGTAGTATTTATAGCTAAAATTATGGCCTAACCCTAACCTAGTACACATATTACATTCCGATGTCCGCCATCTTGGTTCGCATACTTCGGGAGCCCCAAAGAATGCATTTCATGTTGAAAGGGGACGCAATAAACCAGTATTGGTATTCAAGCAGCGACACCAGTGGTGTGATTCAAATTTTTTTTTCAGCTGGTTCCATCACACAAATGTCATATTTTTAGTCGGTTCTGTTACAAAAAGTCATGTTTTTTAAGTAATGCTAACCAGTTCGCTAATCTCATAAAATTCTGTGAGCCATTCTATGGAACCGGCTGAATCCCACTACTGAGCGACACCTATTGACCTCTGGAAACATATAGTTCAGTCGTGGCCCATTTTCGTTGCACAAAATTTTGTGGCCCACTAACTTTTTCGTGCTGGGGAAAAACTTTACGAAAAACATAGAATTCTTTCTACGAAAGACACTTTCACTATAATAATAATTAGATGAAAATTTAACCCCGTAACAAAAAACAGCATCATCCATTGCTACTACCATCAAATTTAATTACCTTTATCAACAACTCTTAGCAATTTTAAATAAGTTTTGGCCCAGCTGGAAATGCTCTTGTGGGCCATGGCCCATTGTTTGAAAACCAGTGGTCTAGTCCAATCTATCATTTTGTTTTAAATTTTTTATTCCCAATCTTGTAAAATATTCTGAATAAACCACTTTCTATGCTGTCATAAAGAAATGTTGTTTATTCTCTTATCGAACTGCCATTTTTGTTCTCCCCCCCCCCACTTTTGTAGAATATTCTCGTTTTAAATTTTGATGAAATCAGCATCTTTGCTGGCTGTTTTAATCTGTATTGAGATTTTCTCTTTTTTTCCTATTTTATTCCTCTTAGTATTCTCAGTTTTATTTTGTTTAAATTGCTTTTTTTGAATTATCCTCAAGATAGTGTTTTCTTGATTTTTTTTGTGTTTTTGTCAAAAAAGTTGGCTTTTTTGAATACTTTTGCTGTGAATGAAAACAGTTCATTTAAAACAGCTAGGCTAACATTTATATAATAATAAGAAGCACAATGTAACAATCAGGGGTCATTATGACGTTATTGTCATTGTTATTTCGAAGCAAAATATATATATATTCGTAAGAACGATAGTCATAATTTCAGTAGAAACTTGGGTGGACCGGATCCTACCTGCAGGCCATTATTGCTCACCCTCGCTTTACAGCCTATAATAACACTACAATTTTGGGGTTCTCCCATAGGTATTGAACCAAGATTGCGGACACCGGAATGAAGTATGTGTACCAGGTTAGGGTTAGGTCATAATTTTAGGTACAAATACTACGGGAGTCACTTGGCTATTCCCCAAACTTGTAATAGAACTAAAATAAGAAAAATTGGAATAAAATTATGGCCTAACCTGCTACACATACTATGTTCCGGTGTCCACCATCTTGGTTCACATACATCAAGAGTACCGATATTTGTCTCTGCAGATACTTTTATGTGTGCAACTTTCCTCGAGAGGAATTATGTATCTGTCATTAAATCTGAGGTCTGTAAGACTTTGACTAAATAACGATCATGATTTATCTTTCAAATTTTTGCATTTTTGTTCAATTTTTTGGTTGAGAGAAAAGTGTTTTTATTGCAAGTTAGAGATATAGCGATAATCCATACACAAGCATAAATTTATTAAATATGGGGAATTCCCCTTCTTTGAGGTTTAATATGACTTCACAATGTCCTACTACTACACTTTTATTATTATTATATTGTTTTTGGTATCATGGAAAATTCTTCCCCCCAGTGGAAATTCATTTCTTAAATTTCCAGATTTTTATTATTATAGTTTCAGTTTAGTAAGTGTTCATTGCAGGTTAGAGCCATAGGAATTTTCTATACACAATATTTTCACGGGGATTTCCCCTCCTTTCTACTCAGTGTTGTAGATTTGCTACTAGATTAATCATGATGAGTGGCGAATGAATTGCATTGTTTTTTCTGTGAATTTTCTGCTTTTTTTGAGTATTTTCTTCATTTTTGCTTTGTATTTGGGAATAAAAATTGTACAAATGATAAATTTTAGAGGTGTGTTCTATAGGAAGGCGGGGAGGTCCTTAAACTTATGGAGTCACTGAATAGGTCGAATATATCTCATGAAGCCCCCACAATAAATTTGCCACTTGACAGACTTATTGATGAGCTAGTACAGGATGGTCCAACCCCAGGCTCGATGGCCGCATGGGGCCCGCCGCCTCATTATCTGTGGCCCACGTCACATTCGGAAGGTTATCATAAAATCGCATTTCTTGTTGTATCGTAATAAAATTAATCAGAAAGCCTTTTTGACATATTGTTACGTCACTGGATTGACTAGTGTAATGGCTAGCTGAGGCAATTAGCGAAGTTGAATGATGTGCTTTGCAGTCTAAATTATTATCTGGCTTTTTATCATTTTGGTCGGGAATATATGCTTACAATATAGGAATCATAGAAAACTAAAAACAGAATGCAGATTCTATTAGCCTGGGATGGCTATGTCTGATAACCATGTGTTTGCACAATAAAAGCGTTTTTTTTTGTATTGCACTGTTTACCTATTCTTGGCACAATTGTGACCCGCGGACAATGCAAAAATAATTTAGTGGCCCGCGAAGCCGACAACATTGGACCACCATGAGCTCGTATCTAATGAGTTTCAATAGAAAAAGTCATAATTCAATTACCTACAGCCTTGTTGCCACATTCAGACTCAAAACAATTTTATTAATGCTGTTATTGCTTCTTTGGACAGTTACAAAATTTGCAAAGTTAGTATTTTAATAAGTAGCATAGCCCCTAGGTTTTCTTGTGGAGGCCTGGTGACTTTGAGAATCTATGGTGTTGCGGCCCGTCTATCCTTTCATTCTGTTTGTTGCGCAGCTGACTGCCCATTTGCAATTGTCAAAAACGATGTTCTAAAATTTGAATAATAAAATCAAAAATTTATCATGACTTCCGCCTTGTATACATCTAATATGGGGCTTTGTGTAGTTTCAAAATTGCAGTTTTAAGGCAAAGATTTCCCCATGGTCAAACTCAACCTGTTATAATTGACCAATATTTGTCTCTGCATACATTCATTTATTCTAGGCGAGAGTGGTTCAAACCCTGGCACGTGGGAACTCGCGTCTAGCAACTTCTTATCTGGAGAGACGTTTTGTTACTCCATTTTAATTAAAACACACTTGCCCTTTTCAAGCGTGGGCCATGTGACAGCAGTGGCGAAACGCAGATCTGAAACAGCGACCAAAAGCAAAAAAAATAAACTGTTTTGTTATTTTGGTTGTGCTCTATATATCTTTCTTAAAATAAAAAACATCCATGCAACATAACAATAGGTTGATCAGAACGTTATACTCTCATTCTTTCATATATAAAATACCAACTAATCTCGCAGTATTTTGATCATTTCTGGGTTTTTCCGACTGTGAAACTCCTTGAAACATTTTGCGACCCTTGGATGTCGCAACCTTGGACCACCCTGTATTAGGCAGTTTGCGCATCGTTTAAGCATCAGGAACACGCTCATCGCCGTAGGGTGGTTCACGTAGCGGCTGGTCGGTTACAGCTTTCTCCGCCATCAAGTCTGTAAGGAATATTAGTAATTTGAACAAAATGATGATTCAGATAGACCTAAACTAGTCAAAAAACCTTTTTCTAATTCGAAAAAATCCATTACCTAAAGTGTTCGCACTAATTAGGCTAAAACTCAAATTGTCCCTTTAGCAAAAGTATAACTCATTTAATACATCACTGTGAATTTGTTTACGATAGCATCGAACTTCTATATATAAGTCGCACGGTATTGTAGCAGTGAAGTGGATATCTTATTCTACACTGCTGGAGGCAGTGAAGTACAGACGTTATCGTAATACATTTTATCTTACAATTCCATGCATCAGTTAAATAACTGGCCAACTGTTCTCTGTCTGACATGGACTGGAAACCAGGTGAAAACCATGGTTCATTAGGCGATGTTATTGGCTTTCCTTTTCCCTCTTGAAATTAATCGAAATACTGCTCAAAACTGTGAATACCAGCTTAAAACGCAGCATTTTTTTTGTAATTTTTCAAATAAAATTTCACACTTGTCCCTTCTACGGCTACGTAAACCCCAAGAAAATCTCATATCTGGCGATACAGAAAAACAGTCATCCTCACTCAGTAAGTTTTTAATGCAAAACACCACCAAGATAAAAAGACATGTAAAGAAAATTAGCAAGGTTCGTTGGTGTAATTAATAATATTTAATTCCAACCTCAAAATGGCAATAAATCGACAGTGACAATAATTTTTTTAGCAAAAAGGCAGCATTTGATAAAAACATACAAAAAAAGTGAATTTGTTTTCTATTTGGCAGTTGACTTGAAAGAGTCTGGCAATCTCTACTACAGGGGTTCCCACCAAAAATTGGGTCGCCTGGAAGTTTTCTTGGGTCGCTTGGGAAAAGTTATTGCTTTTATTTTCTATTGAAGTGTAGCTTACTGGTAATTTTATGTCGAAAGGGTGCTCCAGAAGTATGTGCACCAAGATGACGCACAATCTGAAACATACAAGCATGTATGTGTACCGACTACCGGGTAAGGTTTCAGGTATATGCGCCATCTTGGTGCACATACTTCGGGAGCTTACATACTTCGGAGTATCACAGCGAAAAAGCTGCTGTTTTGCTTAAATAAATGTGAAAATGGTTATTTCACATTACTCGGTTAATTTTGTGACCATATAAGACATAAGCATTACATACCGCCTAGTATTTGAGCATATTCTTGGGTTGCGAGATTTTACAAAAAAAATTTTCAGAAAATTTGGCTTACTTGAAAAAAAGGGGTGGAGCCACTGACCTACTACGAGCGAATTTAAATTTTAGAAAACGTTCAGTCTCTGTCTGAAGCACCGTAAATGCTATTGACGATAACACTCAAAAATACATGAAAATAATAAAAATAAACACATATGATAATTATCGGCAGTTTTTGATCTATTTTCACCACTTATATTCGATACAGGGCAGTGAACACGATTTTTACTTGGCAGTCAAGAAAAGTTTACATAAAAAATAGGGCACTCCAGGAGTGTATGTACCAATATGGAGGTAACTAATTTTATTCGGCTACTTTACATCAAGTCGTGTAAAGCGACTGAAGCCTATGGGCCGGGGGGTATATTCACTTGGCTAACACAGACAGTCCCCGAACTTGTAATAGAACTAAAATAAGGAAAATCGGAAAAAAATTATGGCCTAACCTTAACCTGGTACTCGCACTACGGGAGCATCCAATATGCATACTGATTCAGAAATAAAGAGGTCCCAATTAGGCAAAAAGAGGTATTTAACGAAATAGAGCCATGCTCTTTAGTAAGATTTGACTTTTTAACTAACAAGAAGTAAGGAATTGGCAGCATTGTAACTCTTGCATTAGGATAGGATTATCCTGACCAGATATGCCTCAATGATTCTACGAGAGGCAGAGTTGGAATTTTAATAACGCCGAAGAAACCTAAAATTGGTTCGGAAAGAAATATAAAATGATGTCAAAACAGCTACGGGGCAATATCTTGGAAAGTAAAATTCTGAAATAACGAATGATTTGAATATTTTTAGTGATTTCGCTTTAAAAAAATCAATAACCTTCTGCCAGAGGTAAGATTAAATGGAATTTTCAGCATTGCCAAATTTAGAGTGAAGTTGTTGGCATGAAGATTCAATACCTCGTTTGCACTCCTAAACATTAAGCCATCGTTGTGTGTTTAATTATAATGTAAACACATGGGCGCTCCAAAAGTATGTGCACCAAGATGGCAAACATCGGGGATGTAGTATGTGTACCAGGTTAAGGTTATATTATAATTTTAATTTTTCCTTTTTTAGTTCTATTACGAGTTCGGTGACTAGCCAAGTGACTCTCGTAGTATTTGTATCTAAAATTATGGCCTAACCTTAACCCGGTACACATACGACGTTTCGGTGTCTGCCATTTTGGCGCACATACTTCTGGAGTACCAACACATGTCATCATGCAAGAGAGTTCAAAAACCTTCCGTGCTCCAAACCACGGATCAATAAAACCTCCGAATCTAATATTTTCACATCTCTTTCCTTCAACATACTCGACTTTCGCCAATTTTTTTCACTCCCACATTCTGCACAGGATTTTGAGGGGTACATCTCCCATGTAATTGCCCTATGTCGACAATTCGAGCACTCGAAGAATTTCTTTTTCGCGTTTTTCCAGTTTAAATGATGTTTCAGCTCTTTACACCTCTCGTGTGGCCCCCAGAACGTATACGAACATTCAACACACGTCACGACTTTGGACGAAATCTCGTACGTTTCAGACATCTTTTTTTCCATCATTTCTTTCCGTATAAGGGGGGTAAAATATTTTTCCTCCTCTTCAAGCTGAGAGTTCTCAATTTCACGAGAAAACGACGATTTGCTGTTCAAAATTTTATTAAATTCTTCTTTACTCAAATTTCCAAATTTTGAGTGTTTTGGGGACAATTTTTGAGGCTGATTTTCCTTTTTTTCACCCAGATTCAATTCCACTTTTTGCAAAATTTTATTTTTCATATTGTCACTGTTTTGAACATTTTTAACTTGCTTTAAAACTCCTTTATTTGGGTCAGATTTTTGTATCACCACATTCCCAGTATCATTCCGTAATTTTGCTATCGCTTTTTTCTTTGCTAAACTGGCATTATTTTTTGATGAACTCGAATTTTTGGGGCTTCCCCACTCCCCAAAAAGATCAATTTCACCATTACAAGACCCATCGCCTAATTTGGGGCCATTTGCCCCCAATTTTGGGGAGGAAATTTTCGCTAACTCCAATTTTTTCATGCGCACCATATCAGCTGTCATTTTTTTGATATCCGCTGGAGAGACAAAACTATTGTTGCCAGTTATTTTTGTTCTGGAATTCGCTGCGTTGCTTTTAAGCTGTGATAACAGTGATCCTGTTTTTTTCACCGGCTGTGTTGTAACGTTTGAAGTTGTCTTTGACTTTGATTTAATGAGATTTCCTCGTTCTTTAAGGAATTCGGCTGCAGTTTGGGGTTTCGATTCCGCTGCCTTTTTCTTGAATTCCTCTTCTTTCTTTAAATTGTTCAAATGATTCAAATATTGTCGAGATCCGGCCGCCATGTCACCTAGAAAATAAGTAATGAGGCGTTTCAACTCAGAAGGTCTTCGGAGAGAAGTGCAAAAAGTTTCAATCGAAGAAAGTTTCAATAAACTAATTTGAAATAAATGAAATACTCTTACTTTAACTTAAATAATGTAAGGTACGAATATTCAAACTTTGCCATTGGCGCCATTTCACATAGATACGCCACCGACAATTTCATTTTTACTTTATTACATAGTGGTCGCTCAAAACTTCTCTTTTACTTCTGATTTAAAAAAACAGGTAAGCATGTCAGTGACAGCTTGTAATTCTTGTATTAGTACTTTTTCTAGTGTTGTTGAGAATTTGCATGTAACTCATCTCTCAGTAATTATTTAATTTATGTGAGTGCTCAGGACCTTGCTTTAATAATGTGCGATATAAGTATACCTGATGTTAGCATCTCCGCAAATGCTGGTGAGCATCCCGAGACTGAGTGATCTTCCTCGATTCCACTGAGTGCTTTCATAACCTTTGACCTCTCCATTAATTCTCTCTTTCCTTCAGCTGCAAGGTCAGCATGATTCGACAAAAATTTTGTCAATTTGACTTTTGGTTCTTTCGGTTTTGTAGAGTTTGCAACGGAATTCGGGGTAGCGCTGTACACTTTCCCTCCGTAAAAAAACTGATCATTTTTTACTTTATTCCACATGCTATCTTTAAATTTTTTCGCTACGGGGGCAGCAACGGAGCCTTGCAATTCACTACGTCGTGCGCTTGATTTCTTATATTTGCTCTTCATGTGAAAAACACAGACGTCTGATACTTGTTTGTTAATGAACGCTAAACATTTTCCAGCGGGTTGTTTATTTCTCCATTTTGTTGCCATGCACCATCCCAAGTCAGACGCTAAACCAATATGCATTGTCCGATCTGCAACATCCACAGTCAAAGCAGGCGTATCGTCAAACGAATTTTTGGGGTCGTCTTTCTTAGGGGGCATAATCGTTGGGTTCAGAAGTCCAATCACACTCCCTACAGCCATTTGTTTCGTTAATTTTTCGTGTACGGCACCGAAAAGAAAAAATGAAACCGTTTTTGTGCAGTCATCCAAATCTGTTAAATTCCAGATACTGAATGGTTTTCCATTTTTCGCGGTCTGCCGCTCAAGTTGCTTAGCAACAACTCCAATCGTTACCCAATCAGTTTCCTCGGATAACTTCATGGTTGAACGGATAAGGCTCAATTTTAAATAACGTTTTCCCGTCATGCGTTGTTGCATTTCTACACCAGGAACAAAACATTTTTTCAATCGAATTCGAGAAAATCGTTCAATTTCAACAACAACTGGTTCTTTTGCAGCTGCAGGTTTTTGTTTCTGGGGAGGAGTCGATTTGGCACCAAATTGTGGGCCCAAAAGGTTACCCAAGGGCCCCATCGGTGTTCTGGGGCTTGATACACTACCCCTCAAGCTTTCGGTGAAGGGGTGGCCCATTGGGCCAGGTGCTTGAGTGGTATTTGCGACTCGTCTTTTTTTCTGAGGGGGTAAATCAGTCTCAAACTGGTTATTCTCAACCTGACGTTTCGAGCTGGAACCGTAAAAAGATGACGTAACATTTTTAGTTTTTTCAGAATCAAGTTTTCTCGAAATATTAGAATTCAGAGATGCACTGGCTGTATTTGTAACACTGGCTGTATTTGCAAATGGTGCGTCCGCAAATGCAGCCAGGAACGATGATTTTGGCAGACTTTTTGAATCTGTAACATTTTCTTTATTATCTGGAGATGATTTTTGGCTAGTTTCGGTGGTTTCCTCAGGTGAACAATTCTCATTTTTCTTGCGTCCAGGTGAATTTCCTTTCTTTTGTTTCATCTTTTCCTTGATTTCTTTCATTTTCTTTTCCAGTTCGAAATATTCATCCTCAAGAGTGCTGAAAATATAAAAAATCCGCAGTTTGAATACTGCTCAACAGACAGATGAAGTGACATATCGATTAAAACTTAGTAGCTCTAAATCATAGATTCTACGTTCTCAGTAATTAATCTTCAGTGATTTCAGGATCGAATCGAATACTTTTTCGAAGCGAATTTCGAAAGATTGGTAATTTTATGTGAATTTACTGCGTATTCACTATTCACACATGACAAGAAACATGTTTGATCAATAAATTGCATTTAAAAAAAATATGCTCTGACAAAATAAATCTTTGGTGAATGAAAAAAAACAAGATAGCAGTGATTTAAAACCCAATCCTGACATGGACTGATAACCAGACAAGAGGATGTAGTTCGCCATATAATTACGCTGTCATATCGGTTTCCCCCCCCCCCCCCCCCCCCAGGATAAATATGCAAATCCCATCCCATTCTTTAGGTCAGCGTTTCCCAAACTGTGTTCCGCGGAACACTAGTGTTCCGCGAGCGTCTTCGAAATGTTCCGCGAAAAAAGAATCAAAAATACGTCTAAAATGGTCGCCATGGCAATCTATGGAACGTGGAGTTGCCGCCCAACTGACCGGCGATATTGCGTCATCGTCGGCCTAAAGTGGACCAATTAGGGTGGGGTAGTGGAATTTTTGATAACCGTCGCTATTCTTCCTTCATCTTTGACTGGTTTTACCTTAAAATAATTTCTTATTTGGCCAAACTCTATTCAATAGATAAATAAACTGCAGCAAGTACTTCTATCTCCATTAGACGTAACATTAGAGGCAAACACTATGTAATGGAAAGTAAACGACATAGAATGGTAAAATGAATGAATTGATTTATATACACAGTATTTAGATTAATCAACAATAAAACATTCATAATAATCAATATGCAAAATTTTCAGTCATTTTTTAGGTATGTTTAACACAATTGTGTTAGTTCTCGCGGCGCATTTGGCAACTCGCCACTAGATTTGAGTAGCGGTTACATTACACCGTTTTTCTTTATCAATTTTATCCTTTCAACTTTTAGTGTTCCGCGAGGCGAGATGAAAAGTGCAAGTGTCCCGTGGACGAAAAAGTTTGGGAAACGCTGCTTTAGATAACTGTACCCAACAACAGTAACCCAACAATACCTGGTCTCAGCTTCTTCATCTTCATCCATAAGAGCAAGTAAATCTCCAACGTCATCATCAATGTCTTCCATGATTTCATTAATTAGCTAATTAATCTGTGTAAAATTAGGAATTATAATTATTGAATTAGAGGTAGAATTGTATAAAACTAACAGTGCTTGAAAATCTTATTTTTAAGGCATACATCCACCTTTATTTACCCTGGAATAACACAATTTCTATTTTTGCTTGATAATGTCGGAATTTAAAATTAAACCAAATAATTGGTGAATGCATTGATAAACATGAATCATCCCATAAACAAAATACTTTAAAAAATGAGTGTCAGTATTCATAACCCTAAAGACGAATGGGCTTCATAAACAAATACTGGTGCTCCCGAAGTATGCGAACCAAGATGGCGGACATCGGAACGTAACATGGGTAACAGGTTAGGGTTAGGCGATAATTTTTTTCCAATTTTCCTTATTTTAGTCCTATTATCAGTTCGAAGACTAGCCAAGAGCCTCCCGTAGTATTTATACCTAAAATTATGGCCTAACCCTAACCTAGTACACATATTACATTCCGATGTCCGCCATCTTGGTTCGCATACTTCGGGAGCACCAAAATACTTTTATTAGTGTGTGAGTATATTACAAGGTCAGGGAATTCACGGACATCGTCATCAATGTCTTACATGGTTAGGTTAATTAAAAGATAATAGATGTGAAATTAATAATGAGAATTAATAAATTAAGAGTTAATAACTCCGGTATTTGGCTTTATGTTAATAAGTTCAGGGCTGTGCTTGCTTGATTGCTTCCTGACAGATAGCCTGGCTTGACTAAGAACAGACCAACAGATGTAGAACTGAGCTTTTATTATCAGTAACAAAGAATATAATCCTAACTGCAGTAAACTACTGTTTTATCTGTAATTTACAGGTTAATAGTTAAAGCAGATTGTTCAGTGCACAAGGCTAGTCTAGTACCAGAGTACCGGCAGACAGGAAGCTCATTGCCATGTACAGGTGGAGGGGTGCAAAGGTCAAGGCATGGCACAAGTGCCATAATGTTGTGTTACTGAAAGGATACATGTTGGAAAAGAAGATTGAAATGAAATTATGTGTTACTGTACATATAAAATAATATTAAAACACTGTACACAATAAAGCACTTTACAGTACACTGAGTCACACTGTATTTTAGGGTGATAGTGAATCTTTTGGGACATATCACTACTCCCCTCTTTTATACTCGTTTCAATAGTCATACATTTCTGTGTACCCTGGATTGTTGAAGTCAGCTAAGCGACTCAGTGCTCGTGGCACCGCAGGGTGTGACTGTGGCCTGTGATCCTCCTGGTATTCTGGGTATTGGGTATCCAATGAAATGGGATTGCTGTCAGTCTGAGCCATATCATCCCATTGCCACCAGCTAGGAGGTTGTGTCTGGTTTTGGGCAGAAAGTCGTGAACGTTGTGGTGCGGAGAAATATGGCTTCACATCGTCGAAATGTCTTCGAAATCTTTTGCCATCAGACTGACGCTCTAGTGCCAGTCCATTACAGCCAATGTTGATGACTTTGAGAACATCCGGACCGAAGATTGGGTCGAATTTCTTAGCGTTATTGTTTCGCATCAGTACCATATCGCCATATCTGAACTGTGAAGGTGCTCTTTTGATAGAGCTGTTGATGGAACTTTGACGCTCCAATTTCTGCTGTATGTCCAGAGATTCCGCATCTTGAACTTCTTGTGGAGTGAGTACTTTGCGGGGAAAATCTTGTTGGTAGCCACCTCTGAACATAAGGTTTCCTGGTGATTGCCCCGTGGCAATGTGAGGGGTAGATCGAAATCCTGTCAGAAAGTTGTTTAGGGCTTTGGACTTGTCCCTGCCCTCAGCATGTGCGATTTTCATTGCTTTACCGAGAGGTTTCATCAGTGTTTCCACCGGGTTAGCTTGAGGGTGATAAGGGTAGGATGTCTGATGAGTAATGCCACGTCTATCTGAAAATTCCTTGAACTCTCTGGAGTTGAATGGTGGTCCATTGTCCGTTCTATGTGTGTTAGGTTGCCCATAGTAGGTGTATGTTTCCTCTATAGCTGGTATGACATGACGTGCTGCTGTGGAATTCACAATTTTTGCATTTGGGAATCGCGTCTTCATGTCTTGTATTACCACCACATGTTTGTGATCTGGCATAGGACCAAAAAGGTCTATGCTGACTTCTTCCCATGCTGATCTGGATGGAATGTTTGACTTCAGTGGCTGTTTGGTTGTCTTATTAGTGAATTGTTGGCACATTTCACAATTTTTTACCTTGTTTTCTGCAAGCTTGTTTAAGCCTGGAATCCAGAAATGGCTGCGAATTCGTCGCTTGAGAATATTAATCCCTGGGTGGCCTCCTTGATGTGCTTTTTCAATGGCTTTTTCCCAGAGTGTCTCTGGCAACACTATCTTGTCTTGCTTCATAATGAGTCCATCAACGAGTGTTAGCTGATCCTGGAATTTCCGGTACTCGTTAAAGCTCGATTTGTGCTCAGGAATCTGTCCTTTGACAATGTATTTTTTTAGCTTCCGCAAAACTCTATCTTTGCTCGTCTCTTGCGCGATGGTTGACATAGATATTGCTTCGATGTAAGGCCCGTACTGAAGCCAGTATACAGTCCTTTCAAGCTCTCCAGCCTCTTTCTGCCACTCTTCGGGTGTTTCGTGGAAGGGAGTTGAGTGTCGTGAGAGATAATCTGCTGGATTGTGCTTGCCTGGCTCCCATTGAACTTCGTACAGTATGTCTTGATGTCTCATTTTGATTCTGTCGGTTCTGATTGAGCCTTTGCGCGAATTGCTAAAAATGCTGACCAGTGGCTTATGGTCTGTGATGATTTTCACTGGTGGGCCTCCAGCGATATAGTTGCGGAATCGTCGCAAAGCAAAATCAACAGCTAGTGCTTCGAGATCGAGTTGAGGGTAGCGTTGTTCTTCCGGCTTAGTTGCACGGCTTGCAAACGCTACTGCTTTGGATTCCTGGATGCTTTTTCCTTGGGCGAGGATAGCTGAGATGCCAGATGTATGGGCATCCACGAACACGAAGGTTAAGGAATTTATGTCAAAATATCTTAGCTCTGTGTCTGCTTGCAAAGATTGTTTTAGAGCTTTGAATTCTTTGTTGCATTGTGATGACCACCTAAATTCTTTGTGTTTCTTTGTTAGGCTGCGCAGATGTGTGGTCTTGCTTGACAAGTGTGGAATGAAGTCACCAAATGATTGTACAAAGCACAAGAAGGACATGACTTCATCTTTTGACTGAGGTTTTGTTGCTTTTTTAAGTGACTCCACTTTGACTGGGTCTGGCCGAACCCCATTTTTTGTAACGATCATGCCCCAGAACGGGATTTCTGATTTGCGAAAAATGCATTTGTCTGGGTTGAGTGTCATGCCAACTTGATGTATTTTATTGAGCGCTTCGTGCAAGGATTTGTCGTGCTCTATTTTATCTTTGCCTGCCACTATAACATCGTCATGAATGATATGTACACCCTTGATGTTAGCGAAGACTGGGATCAGCGCTTTAGTTAATTCGCCTGATGCCGGTTTAGCTCCCATTGTTAGTTTTCTGTATCGCATCAGACGCTGTCCAGCATGGAATACTGTTGCAATGCGTGAACTCTCATCTAGGAGAAGTTGGTGGAAGGCTGATTTGAAGTCTAGTTTGCTAAAAACTGCACACCCAGACAGCTTGGCTTTGATGTCTTCCACCCGCGGAATTGGGATGTTTGTCGCTTTGATTGCTTTGTTTACAGCTCTAAGATCTATGGTTACTCTGATATTACCATTGTCTTTTGGTGTGAGCACCGGGTTTGAGACCCAAGGTGCTGGACCGCTGTGCTCTTCGATGATTCCTTGTTCTTCCATTTGTACAATAGCCTGTTGGAATCTCTCCCGGAGATGAAATGGAATTGGACGCGCTGCCTGAGCAACAGGAGGTATTTTATTGTTCATATAGAAATGCACTTCATGATCGATCAGTGTTCCCACACCCATGAAGACCTCTGGGTATTTTGCAAAATGTCTGATTCAGATGAATGGAGCTTTTTTACAGCTCGTAATTTGCCTGAACATTCCTTTGTGCAGTTGTTGAATTTGATGATTCCAAGTTCTTCACAAAGCTGGCCACTGAGTAGTGTTTCTGAATCACCTGGGACTATGTAAAATCGAGCTGTGGTCACTGCGTTTTTGAACATGATACTACCTTCATAATATCCAGCACATCTGATTGGCTTGGAGCCGTACGGTCTGAGCTTTATCTTTGTTTTGCACAGAGGCAGTTTCAGTTTGGATGCAGAAGTCTCTGACATCACATTGATGTCTGCTCCTGTGTCCGCGAAACCTTTGATGCGTCTCTCGGCTACAATTATCTCCACTCTGTATCGAGGTTTTGCTATGTTGCGAATAGTAGATCCTGTTTCGTGCGAATTGGCTGGGGTGAAGGCAGGCTTCTTCGAACGGCTGTTCTTTGATACTCCCTTCTTACATTGGACTCTATGTATGCGTCTCATTCTGCGCACTCCTTCTTTGGAGCTGGGTGGACTGCTTTCTTCCTCTGTTTCATTCTCAGAGGAGCTGTCAGTTTCCGAATGTGGCTCTGAGGATCTAGTTCTTGGCTTTACCCTGTGTGCTCTTGCTGCTGGTTTACCTCTACATATTTTTGACCCTTTGAAGTGGCCTTTTCTACCACAAGCGAAGCAGTTTGAATGGCGTGCCTGACATGTTTTTCCACCCTGACATGTCTTCGAAGAACATGTGGTGCACTGGGAAAGAGGATGTTTTGGTCCTGAATCAGCTTTGGATTTCTTTGTTTTACGAGAGTATTTCCCTGGTCTCATCCTGGATATGCTGGTGAAGTCTTCCTCGGTTGTCGAGTTTTCCAGGAGGCGTTGTGCTGTGTGGGATGCAGCCTCTATCTTGCGCCCATTTTCTATCAGGTCCTTAAGCCCCCACTGATTTTTTAGAGCATTCCTTCTAATGTCATCATGTCTCGTTCCAACTATAATTTGGTCGCGTACCATGATATCTGGGATGTCGCAGCCTTCATTGCTGCAGCTGAATTTGCAAGATCGAGCTTCATGCTGCAAACGATGGACAAAGTTATTGAAGCTCTCGTCCTGATCTTGATTTAAGCGATGAAACTCATGATTGGCCAAGGTATAGTTGCGAGTGGGCTCATATCTGGCCTTCATTCTTGCAATGAGGTTTGCGAATGTGAGAAGCGAGCGATCAGTCTCTGCGACAGTGTCTTCAAAGTCTTTTTGAAAGTTGCGAGATGCGAATCGGCCAAGAAATATTTTTCTTTTGTTGATCTGGACCCATGCATTTGTGTCCTCCGTGCCTTGAGGGGGATCCCTCGCAATAGCCTCATATTCATAATGAAACTGGTTGACAAAGTCACAGAATGCGTCATGCACATTCGTGGTGTGCATCTCTGGGTCAAACTTTCCGATTGACCTGGATGGTGATTCAAATTGTTCAGTAGCCATTGTTCCAATTCAAAACTACAGTCAGGATTATCTGTTGTGATGTCTGAGATGGGTTACTATAGTGTCTGTTCCTCCGTTTCACCTCGTCGCCATTAATAAGTTCAGGGCTGTGCTTGCTTGATTGCTTCCTGACAGATAGCCTGGCTTGACTAAGAACAGACCAACAGATGTAGAACTGAGCTTTTATTATCAGTAACAAAGAATATAATCCTAACTGCAGTAAACTACTGTTTTATCTGTAATTTACAGGTTAATAGTTAAAGCAGATTGTTCAGTGCACAAGGCTAGTCTAGTACCAGATTACCGGCAGACAGGAAGCTCATTGCCATGTACAGGTGGAGGGGTGCAAAGGTCAAGGCATGGCACAAGTGCCATAATGTTGTGTTACTGAAAGGATACATGTTGGAAAAGAAGATTGAAATGAAATTATGTGTTACTGTACATATAAAATAATATTAAAACACTGTACACAATAAAGCACTTTACAGTACACTGAGTCACACTGTATTTTAGGGTGATAGTGAATCTTTTGGGACATATCATATGTAAGCAAAATGAATGTCGCCAAATTCTTACGCCTAATACTTCCCATATGTCAATCACTATTGAGCAACACTTCAATACCAATTAAACAATAAAATTAACTAGAAAGTAAAATCTGTTAAAAACTTTTAGATTTCAGTTGAAAAATACAAGCGATCCAAGAAAACTTTCAGGCGACCCCGACCCATAGGTTGGGAAACACTGATATATGGGACATTGCATTAGAGATATATTTAGAATTAAAATAAATAAAACATCCAATTATTTGCATAGATTATAGAATTATATTAAATAGGAAAATTGTACATCTAATCACAGAATCAGGACACCAAAAATGATAAAATTATTATCTGGCTACAATTGGGATAAAAGTTTCGACTTGTAGACAACAAGATCTCGATTCGATTGCAAATCAGCGATCGAAACCACTCCTAAAAGCTTCATGGTCGTTTCGAATTCATCTCGTAAAATTTCTAAAACTCTGCGAGCACCCTCCTCACCGGCACATGTCAGACCCCATAATATCGGTCTTCCTACAAATACAGCTTTCGCACCAAGGGCAATTGCTTTTACCACATCGGCGCCGTTTCTAATCCCACTATCAAGATAAATTTCGCATCTACCTTTTACCGATTTCATAATTTTAGGAAGAGCATGAATAGCTGGTAACGTAGAATCCAAACAACGGCCTCCATGATTTGAAACAATTATTCCGTCTACTTCATGGTCCACCGCTTCCAAGGCCATTTCGACTGTTATTATTCCTTTGATTATAATTGGCAGATTCGTGATACTTCTTATCCAATCAATATCATCCCAATTGATTGTTTGATCAATATTTAAATCAACATCTTTGTCATTTTCTGAATTCCGATTAAGATATCCGTCCTCAAAATTACCTGGCGGCAAATCCTGCCGCCATGACAACTCGTTTCGTAGAACAGTGAAACGTTTGCCGACCGCCATCACATCGACTGTAACTACAATAGCACAGTATCCATTCTGCTCAGCTCTTTGAATTAAAGTTTTTACAACATCCCTATCATTCACAACATACAACTGAAACCATCTTAAACATTTCGGAACTTTTTCAGCAATTTGTTCAATCGTGCATGACGACCAAGTGCCCATGACGAAACCGGTACCAACGCTTTCCGCGGCTCTTGCAGTGTCAATTTCGCCGTTTTTAGATGCCATTTTGTGAAGACCAAACGGGGCTATACACACAGGGAAAGCAATTTTACTTCCAAGTATAAAACTACTAGTATCAATTTGTGAAACATCCCTCAGAACTTTCGGTTGAAAACGCCATGATTTGAAAGCCGAACAATTCTCTTTTAAAGTTTGTTCATTAGTTGCACCAATGCTAATAAATTCAGAAACTTTTTTTGATAATTTTTTTGCAGCCAGTCGTTCAAAATCTTCAACACAAATGCATTTATCTATATTCATGATTTATTTATTAATGCTTTTCATTTTTGCAACGCCTATGCGATGTTACCAGTCGACTAAAATACAGAAAATCCTGCTAGACTTGGAAATTTATAATTTCAACGGAAAACTTTAAAATTAAACTCTACAATAAATTATGAAAATATTTTTTATTGCCATTACCGGTACTCAATTACTGTACTACTGAAGTCATAGATACCGGTAGATAAGATAAGTTTATTTCGACTCCATAATCAGCAAAGAGGCGATAAAACGGTTGATAAAAACAAATAAATAAAAAATGATTATAGTCTAAAATCAGGAGAGTACACAAAACCTTGGATAAGGTTTAAAACGTACAGAATAGAGGATGGAAAGTATCGCCAAAAAGAAGTGATACGTGTTCCCTCACCTAAAACTATTGAATCAAATCATTCACACTCGCACACACACAACCATAGGGCATTAATAAAATTAGAAAAGAGAGAAGCTTTAGATAAATTATATGGTAACCAAAAAAAATAAATAAACACGTAAAAATGAAATTAGAATAAAAGATAAGAAATATGATAAATAAGAAGAATTGTTTGCCACACTATTTTAATAATTTTGTAAAAAAAAATGCTAATTAAGTTTATGCCTCTCAACCTCTGGAAACAAAATAACTAATCCCATACCGGTACCCGACATAAACTGGTAACCGGACGAGAGGCTGTAGTCTTCCATATGAATAAATTCTACTATTGCCTTCCTTTTCCTGGAATAAATATAAAATCCTACCCAGTAATTAATTTTCCATGAATCCACAATCCCGCTGTCGAACTAGGAGGGGAATCACCTATTCTTCCCGCCCAATCATTCAAGCGTACTAGTGTATGTTAGTCGTTGTGTATGGCTTATTACAGTTTGGTGCAGGAATCTTCTTCAGATACTGATAATCATTTCGTCGTACATGGAATATTGCAACGACACCCGTAAAAAAATAAATTATTAAAAAGTTCTATTGAAACAATCAGACATGGACGTTTCTCCGACCTCCAGAATTCTCCATTTTAAATTTGTGTATATTATGGAGTATTCAAATGAACTATCTACCTTTGACCCTATAAAAATTCTCCCTGTACGTTACTAAAGAAAATTTTTTATTCTTATTTTTTTTATATTGTTTTGGAGAGTGGACGTTTGTACCAATTGCCATTGTTACGTAATTGCTGACTGGTCATTGTTACCGTTATAAACAAGGAAATCGATGCATAGGAAACATACATATTTCTGCAATTGACGGGCTCTGTCTAAAGACTACCAAAGTCATCGTGTCAGCAATATCTTGTTGATACCAGTGGCGCTGGTAATTGTTACAGCAACAAGAGAGCCACGCTCAAATATATGAACACATCACAAGGTGCCGCTATTTTTTATTCTGACACATAAAAAACGAATCTCTTGGAGTCCACAAAAATTTTTGAAATAAGTAAAAGTAATAGTCTTCTGGTGAAAAAATCAATCTTTAACCACTGAAAATTTCAAAGCGATTTTATCATGACGAAGAAGAAAAATATTAATAAGAACAACAACATAATATTGAAACGATCGTTATGTCCACTGACGTGTCCAATAAACGAGGAAATCGATGCTCTGGGAAACATCCAAGACGACTTAATGATGCTTAATATGTGATTAGTCATTTGGCGAATGTGGAGCGTGTATTCTCTCAGATAATTATCATCTCCTGCGTTCTCAGCAATCGTACACTTTCAAGCGAATATGAAATCGGAGAATTCCACGAATTCATTTAAACCAAAGGTTCTCAATCTGTTACTGACCGTATACCACTTTACTGTTTTTACTCTGGCCGCGTACCACCGCCTCACACGCAATGGGAGTATTTTGTAATGTGACATAACATCCTTTGGGGCGTAAAACGCAAACGGACGAGGGCGATCTCTAAAAAGGACTGGTAGACCTATAAATGGATCAGCGAACAATAGCATGCATAGCATAAGATTCTTCCTTATATGGCTGCTTTACCTGCTTATATTCTGACATCTGCATGTGCATGTTTCTTGTTGAGTTTCTGATATCCCACATGCATGATCTTTTTTCCTATTTGGGTGGTGTGATTCTTTGTGAGGGTTGTAGAAGCTATAATTTAACTCCTGTACCTATTATTGTAATTAGGTGACAAGTCAAGCTATATTTGAATTCTCCCCTCCATTTTAATTTGCTGTAGTAGCCTATTATATGCTGTGTCCTGCGTGTATACAACCATTTTATCCTTGGTCAAAGTTATGCTGTGGACTTAGAGCACGCAAATGTGTGATGTTAACGGTTAATAGCCAACATGAATGGTTAGTGTGATGTCTCAACCACAATCTCATCCTTCTCATATCTTTCAACTAGCAATCTAATGATAGTTAATTACTATTGATCGATATTTACAGAAATCAATACCTTCATCTGTAGCGTGGTTTTCTATTGTCTCCTTATTTGCAATCATTGAATATCGTACTCGCAGAAATTTTTCGTTTATCAGGACACCATCGTGATCAATTTGAAGACTAGCTAATTCAACATAAAAAGAGTATAGATCAACAAAACTTGCAAACTGATGGATCATCTGTGATAAATCTGAACTGGCCCCAGTGATAAACAACCTCAGTTAAATTTCCTTGGCTATAATCCCTGACTTTGAAAAACCTACTTGAACCTTTAATATCCAATATATTCCCAAAACCGATTTTCCTACCTCTCGGCCTGAATAATTAATCTTAACTTAATTATAAATACCGGTACTTTTATAGATTAATAGTATTTGAAAAAAATTGTACATTAATTTGGCTAGTTTTAGCTTCTATTTGTTGATTGTACATTGTTTGTGTATATATTTTTTCTTTCTTTTCATGTCTCGGTGATTGTGTGTGTGCGTGCGTGCCTTCATTAATTTGGGATAACCTTTAACGACCTTCGAAAATCGATGAAAGCGTAAAGTAAAAACAAGAGAGCTACGCCCAAATATATGGACACGTCTGTTCGCAGTACAGTACGGTTTACCGTACCGTCAGATCACAGTCTACAAATATATTCACACCAAGCGAAGCAGTACAGTCGGACACACAAGGGCGTCCGCGAAGCAGTACAGTCGGACACAAAATGACGTTCGATGTCCGCAAAACGATCAAACAAAACAAAATCTCACGAAGCTAACAGAAATATTTGAAAAAAACTTGAGCTACGCTCAAATATATGGACACGTCACAAGGTGCCGCTATTTTTTATTCTGACACATAAAAAACGAATCTCTTGAAGTCCACAAAAATTTTTGAAATAAGTAAAAGTAATAGCCTTCTGGAGAAAAATTTCATCTTCAACCACTAAATTTCAAAGCAATTGGTCCAGTGATCAAAGAGAAAAGCTACTTTTTAGATTTTCCACTAGGTGTCCAAAAAGTGTAAAAGAACAACAACATAATATTGAAATGATCGCTGTGTACACTACGTGTCCAAAAACGCTTCGCTTCGTTGATTGTACGTTTTTTTAATCTTATCATACTTAATTTGTATTTAAGCGAGTACATATCATTTCTTCTTATCAGTTGTGTCTGTTTTACTAATTTAACCATTTCTTGAATATGCTGCCAAATTTCTGAATGTGGCATCGTATAAGATTTAAATGTGATGCCAACTTCAACGATGCCAATGGTATGAACTCCAATACTTCAATTCACTGTGAACGCAAAAATCTTACAATTGCAACTTTTCTTCAATTTTGAAACCTCATCTAGAAATTTGGCGATTTACCCAAAATTCTGTCTTGTTTTTTTGCCTTCATTTGCGTACCATAACAGAAAAAAAATGAAATGGGATATGTCAAACATTATATACAGTATTCTTATTTCCCCCAATTTTGCAGACCGAAGTGGCGTCCCTTTTAATATTCACACAAACCACTCACGATCATGAATGCTCTAACCCTGGCATGAGTAAGCTATGGCCCGCGGGACAAACGGCCCATTGATTTCATATGGCCCGCCTGATGCTGCTATAAATTTCTGATTTTAACCAATTCTGCATGCACTACATAATTGTTGTTATTGAAATCTCAATTTTTTTTCACAATTGATACAGCCAAACTAAAACTAAATTATTATTTTCCAACCAATAATAGCTCAAGGAATTTGTTGAGACTACGATTAAATTTAGTTTTGACACGAGGCTTATTGTTTCCACTTTCGCAACACAGTTCATAAAATCAATTTTTTACGTCACATTCACATGACCCGACAGTCCGGATGAGCAATATGTTTGGTACCTGGTCTAAAAGCCTTTCTCACCTCTGATCAACTCCTCCCAAAACACCCCGCCATTCTCTGTAAGACGTGGCGCTTAAAATAAATTAGCCTATATATCGTGCAGCTTTTTTAAAAAATCTTTTTAAATTCAAATTCTGTACGTTTTAAACGTTGCTTAACGTTGTTTCATCCACCTATTGTACTATTTTATGCCATGATAGGCTTATATACAGCATATACACAAGGGTTGGGAGCCTAGATGACTTTAATCGGTCTTGCACACTGACCCGCACAAAACAATAATCAATCACTGTTATTACTGCTGAAATATTTTCGTTATTGTATTATGTTTATAATAGTGTTGACTTTGTTTTGTGGCAATAAATCTCTCTCTCTCTCTCTCTTAAAATAATTAAGGTTTCGTTTGCCATCCTGATTCTGTGAACAGTTCTAATTTATTTATTTATCAATTATTTTTATCGTCTGACTGATTATGGAGTCGAAATAACCTGAACTTGTAGTAAGCTAACATGCTCTTACTTCGATCCTGCCCTTCTGCGAATATTTAAGTTTACGCCGAAATCTCCTCGCACTTCTCTGCGGGAACAGATTGCATTTCCGTTCTTATCTCTTTGGTTGCACTTTCTCCATCTGCTTACCGATACGGGAATGCGCTAATTAGGTTCTAAAATAACTACGAGAGAGAAATTTATGATTATAAAACAAAGTCAAC